GGGACTCAGGGCCCTGGGCAGGGCCGGGCCGGGCCGGGCATGGCGGAGAGGCGGCAGCGGGCCCGAGTGCAGGGCGGCTGGGCCGGCGCCCCGGCGGGGCGGCCCGCAGGTAAGGAGCGCCCACAGCCGCCCTTCCCTTCCTTCCCGACGGCCGCGACTTCTCCGCCGCCGTCCTGGGCGCGACGGGGCGAGCGGCGGGGCCGGTCTCCGGCTGCACTTCCCGACCGCCCTGCGCGGCCCCGGGGCTGGCCCAGTTTGCCCCGTTGCCGTCGGTGGCTGAACTGCAGGTGTTGGAACCCAGCTTTTAAGTAAAGTTTGTGCGTGTGCCACAGGTGCGGCGATTTTGGCTGCAGAACGCAGGGTGTGGATGTGTTGCTAACGCGCGCGGTGAGGCGGGCGCGTCGTTGGCGTCTCTGGGCAGCTCGGGGGAGACGAGGAGCGTTTGGTGGAGCTGACTTGTGTAAGAACAGTCAGTCACTTATTCATAAAACGCATTACGTGTCTTTGTTTAGCTTTTCAGGGTGAAAACATTGTAAAATAAAGAGATGTAGTAGAAAGGGATGGAGTTAACGTCACAGGGGTTTTAGCAAACATTGAAACCAAAGAGTGCAGAAGCAGAGGAGTACTTTGAAGGTTTCCAGTCTTGCAGGGGGAACTGGTTTGTTTTTGTGAACGTGCTCAAAGCATGTTCCACTCACCTGATTACAGTTTCCATAAAGCTCCCATATATCTGCAGCCTGAGCATCCTAGGCAAGCTGATTTTTTTAATCATGAAAAAGAATAGCCAACTGTTTTTGTGCATGTGGCCTCAAAATTATCTGTTTCAGGTGCACTTCATTGCTTCTATTCATGAGTGGATTTAAAAAAATAAAAATTTCCCCGATGTTTGAATTATGCTGAGTGAAGATTTTGTGTTTCAGGCCCATTTTAAAGCCTGTTTGCATGTGTAAATAAAACACCTGAAGTGGTGTGCTGAAGTTGCTCTTCCACTTTCTCCCTGGTGTAAAAAATCCTGTTCTAATAAAAGTGTTTTTCTCTTTTTCTTTTTTTTTTATAAAAAAGGTAATACAGAGGGAAACAGTTTAGCTGTGTGGAGCAATTCCTGCTGGCGTGTGATAGGTGTTTGTTGTAGAACTGAGAAGTTATAGATGTCATCCTTTCTGATAAAAGTATGTTTTCAGTTCTGTTTGTCTGTTTGTATTTGTTTGTAAATAACAAATATACATGTAAAAAAAAATTCAGTTCCTGTACAGTTTTAACTTTTAGGTTTGGCAATTTCCTGAAATCTCTGCCAATCATAGGATACTCCAAGGATTGATTCCATATGTTTTTCCTAGCTATGTTTTTAGTATCATGATATTCTATTGAATTGAAGGATCTTTTCTTCTTTCTCTGTTTTAGCACCTAAGGTACCTGTGGCCAGCAGCGTTGCCCTTGCAGGTGCCAGACCTGCATGGAGACAGAAAGATCAGCCTCACATTCAAAAGCAGTTTGTCTTTGAAAAGCCATCAGAGGTAAAAATTACAGGGTAAATAGCAAAATCTCATCTGTTATTAAGCTTCAAATGATAGGTAAAAATTGTTTGAGAATATAGTCCATTGTTTAAAATCTGAGCTGAACTTTGAACTTTTACTAAGCAGAGTTGGGAATTGTTTTGCATATATGGCAAACAGAAAGTCATAGTCCCTCTGTTTAGCCTGCTCATAACTACTTGTTTTTTTTTTAGAGAGCTAAAAGATTATGTTCTACTAAATATTCAGTGTGCAATGTCTAAGCATGGTTTGAGCTCTTCTTGTTTTCCTCAGATGGGTTATCTGTCTTAATTTGTTAGAGGGGAACAGCATGGGATTTGTTTTATATACTTTATGTCCCATTGTTAGCGTTCAGGAACACACATAGTCAAGGAATGATTATATGAAGGTGCTTTATTAAGAGCTCTGGGTGTCAGGAGTACACATACCCAAATCTGACCCGACTTGGTTTTGAGCTGAACATATTTTATACTCTATCATTATATAACTTACATATTAATTATTAAACTTACATTGTTCTATTGTATACAATAGAATAGCATGGATTTCTCATGGTTCCCCTCAAACCCCTAACATAGTTTCTCATGATTCTTTAAACAATATTTATATCTAATCATATCTAACAATTACATAATTTATCATATACTGACTACACAGGTGCAGTCTCACATGATCTTAGCAAGCACAATTCCTAACATTTCTCAGGGCCTACCTTTAACACTTTTCCCAGGGCTTGCCAAGCCTAACTTTGTTTCTAATTCCCCAAATTTTCTGTGATTTTAAAATCTTTTTCTATCACCGTCAGCTGACGAAGGATATTGTGCTCTATACAGAGCACTTCTTTGCTTGGGGAAAAAAGTAATTGTGAGCACTTCTTTCTAAGTTAGACTTATTTGAAAGGCTGTCATCTTGGCTCAGAAGCATTGAAGACAGCCTGGGAAAAT